AAGATAATTGACTTACTATTACAACTTTACAGACGTGGTATGCAGTCATCAGGCTATTTTCACCCTATGCATCCGACTTATTCCCGAAGTAGCTACGGCGAATAGCAATTCTTCACCTCCATATCGGTCTCTATCTTCAGTCTGTGAAAAAGTAGTATGTTAATAAAGTTGCTTGGTTCACCTTTTTGCTGAAGTTGTAACTTCAATATTTTCATCACTATCCATTTTGATGTTTTTCAAAATAGTATAATTGTTACATATTGATCAGGGGATATATCATGCTGCAGGGGAGGTTCTGTATATCTATATAAAATTTTTCTTGTACTCATAGTGATTTTCATATGAATAACAATATTTTTATCTCTTCAGGTCAAAATTACTGTTTTTTTTTAATAAACAAAATTATTGCTACGTTTATTGAAAGTGTAAGTATTTGCCTTTTACTTGACTATTTGACAATGTTGATATTTGTTATGTGACTGGCTCTTAAAAAACCTCAAATTGAAGCAATGCAATTGTAAACAACATTATACAAAATTTTTTGACACTTCGCTTACTTTTTTTTTTTTTTACGCAGATTACTGTAATTGTATAGTGGCTACAAGTTAAAAGAGCTATTATTGATTTGAATGAGCAGTTTTGGAGGTTAATTATACATTGAACCTTTTTTATTAGTCAGCAATTACTTTTTTTTATAACATAAACCCTTTTATAGCATTGAACTTTTTTTTTCATATTAAACTTTTTTTGCAACGTGTTTTTGAAACATTAAACTTTTTTTCATGGTTATTGAATTACTATTTGAGATCAAAAAAAAATTTTTTTTTTGTTTTTAATATATTGAATGCCTCATACCAATATTAATATTACTAGGAATTGTATGTAATACTTTTTGGTGGTGCTGGAGTATACATAATACTGATATCTACAAATACGATTAAACTTTTTTTATTGTGTTATATTTTTTTACATATCTAGTTATTGTTTGACTTTTTAAATATTTGCATATTTATTTTCAAAATATGAATGATTCTATTTTGAATGGTGAAAAGATATTTGTAATGATCCTGACAAGGACTTTGAGATTCTTGATGATTCAAGTATTGGATGTAACTCAGAAAGCCTTGAACAAGCAGCCACGTCTTCACTGTCATCTATATATAGTGCAAACAATACAGACAGTAATATAAACTTATATGATAATTCATATGATCTCCAATTTGATAAAACGGCAATAAAGATGGCTAAAGCATATGCCAGTTTATCATCAAAAACAATACAAGAACATGTTAGAGAAATTGATATAAATTGGTTGGCACAAGATCTTGATTCAACATCTAATAGAGAATCATTGTGGGAAGCAACCACCAACTATGAAAATGAATTGAATATTAAACTTAATTCTGGTGATATTAAACATTTGAATAGGACATGCATTATAGTAGATAATTCTAATGAAACAATATGACGATGTTCTGATCCTGTAAATAAACTATTAAGACAACTTGGAGGAATTTGGAAGTTGGATTCTGAAGCAGTAAATAACATTATTGCAGAATCAAAAAGAGATAAATTAAATACATTAGGTGTTTGCACTAGCCACTTTAATTATGATAATAAGCGACTACATAATTTTTCAAAAAGTGGAATTTCTATAAAAAAAGCATCTATTTGTCGAAAAAAATATTTATTTTGTGGATATGATAAGTATATATTTAGTTGTGAGGGCTATTGTAAAGAACATTCATGGAAATTATGTGATAAAAATATACAAATAGTTTGTAATAGACTAAAGGTTTGTCCTATATTTCAAAAGAATAAATTTGTCAAACTATCATCTAGTTCTAGACATACACGCTATATTTGTATGTCGTGTTTTATATCTGAGGAAGGTCACTTGTATAAACGAGAAGGGTGAGGTGCTGTTCCTTCATTTGATTGCACAGATAATCACCATGATGATTTGACTAGATCACTTCAATTTATTGCAAAATAGATAAATGAGATATCAGAATCTGCCAAAAAAAATATGCAATATCTTCTCCTTGACAAAATTTTTAAAGAAATGATGATATTTTTCAAAAAGCTAAAATCTATTGAGGATTTAAAAAAAAAAAATATTGATGAAGAATTTGAGATCTGTACAAATAAAAAAAGTGATGAGCACAAGGATTCAAATCTATATCAAAAAAAGATTATAGAAGAAAAGGTAGTAATTCCAATGCCACTAAGCTTTTTAGGTATAAAAATCGCTCTTAGATTAAAAAAAGTCAATATTAAAAAATTGTCAAATAACGAACATACTGCAATATAATTAAAAACATCCAAAACAGATAGGTAAGGCATTAGCTACTTTGCTTTGGCATTCAAGATCAGAGGTTCGTCTAAATAAGAAAAAGTTAGAGATGTCTAATTCTTTAAAGAAATACCAAGAGGGTTTTCTGTTAGTACTTTCAGAATTTTTTAATAGTTTGATAAGTACTATACAAAAAAATAAGTGAAAGGTTGTTTTAAGAAAACAAAAAGAGAGAAGAACTTTCGAAAAAGACTATAATGAAACATGTGCAAAGAAAATTTCAATATTTTTTATCTTGGTATTATTATCGATTACATTTCCAGGATTAAATGTATGATTTACCCATATTCTCAGTTCACTTTGTCAAAAGCCCCGTTTACACTCATCTTTGTATTCAATATTATGTGTAGCGAATATTGTAGCCCATACCCGTAGATATGAAAAACATTTAGAGAAACAACATCGTGAGCAAGTTGATATAGAAAAAAGGTTATGGAAAGGGAACAATATTTGGAACATTTGTATAGTTGATAATTTTGACCTTCAGGAAAGTACATTTAGCTATGATAATATTTTTGATATAACACGAAAAATGGCTCATGCTACACTTAGGATGGTATTTTAGTATCAACTTCCACAAAATATATCAAACCTTTTAGAATTATATAATTCCGAACTTTTTAGTTTTCAAGTTGGACAGTCAGCATTCATTAATAACAAAATAAAAAAAATCGAAGAAACTTTTAATTTATTTGTTGAAACCAAATAGTTGGACTATGACGCTTTTGATTTAAGATCTGTGGTACGAAAAAATGTGCCAATAGGTTGTGATATACCAAAACCTAATATCGTAATATTAAAACCCGGAGACAATCCATGTAATAATTTAAACGTTCATCAGGCAATTAACATGTATTTTGATGATGTTGGAATTGGAGCAAATAATTTTTTGGATGTATCTGCGGATCAGGCAATATTTCATAGATTAAATCCATTACGCGAAAAAAAGCCAGAAATTCGACTATTATTAGGTGGATGGCATACGAACAAATGTATGCTAAATACCCTATTAGCAAT